TCTTTATTACTGATGTAGATGGTCCACCTATACTTGGTTTGGAAGCATGTAGTGATCTTGGTCTTTACTTAAAGAATATCAGGATGTTTTCACAGGCTTAGGTAAATATGAAGAGCCATATGATATACAGTTGAAGGACGATGCATCTCCAGTGGTTCATCCTCCCCGCAGAGTACCACTCAGTTTGCACATCTAGCATACCAAGTTGAAGAAGAAGCTTGATGACATGGAGAAGAGAGGTGTCATTAGAAAAGTTGATAAACCGACAGATTGGGTTAACAGCTTGGTAATAGTAGAGAAACGAGATGGATCATTGAGGTTGTGCTTGGATCCACGTGACTTGAATAAGGCGATTAAACGCGAGCATCATATGATACCAACTGGTATGGATGTGGTGAGTCAACTATCAGGTAATACACTTTTTACCGTATTTGATCAGAAAGATGCATATTGGCAAATACCACTTACTGAGGCTAGTGCCGACATCTGTACTTTTAATACACCCTTTGGCAGGTACAGCTTCTTAAGAATGCCGTTTGGTATCTGCAGTGCAAGTGAAGTATTGCAGAAAAGAAACCAACAGATATTTGGCCGTATTCCTAATGTACACATTATTTCTGATGATATGATTATTGCTACAGAGAATGAAGCGGAACATCATGTTACAATACACAGGGTGATGGATACAGCCAGGAAGCATAACTCAAAATTTAATGGGAGCAAACTCAAGTATAAACAGTCTGAGTTGGTGTTTATGGGAAACATTGTGAGTGCCGATGGACAAAAGCCTGATGAAGACAAGTGATTAAAGAGATGCCTGAGCCGCAATGTAAGTCTGATTTACTACGCATAATGGGGATGCTTAACTATCTCTCTCAATTTATACCTAATATGTCCAGTGTTAGTGCGCCTCTGCGTGAGTTACTGAAGAAAGATGTGGCCTGGTCCTGGGGTCCAGAACAGGCAGATTCGTTAAGGAAGTTAAAATCCCTCATAAGTAGCAAACCAGTGTTGAGTTTCTTTGATCCGAATAAGCCAACTATAATACAGTGTGGCGCATCGTCTACAGGGCTTGGAAGTTGTTTGCTTCAAGGGGGTCATCCTGTGGCGTTTTCTTCTAGGTCTTTGACGTCGGCCGAAGTCAATTACTCACAACTTGAAAAAGAAAT